AAAAAAAAAAAAATTTGTTGAAAATATTTAAAATAAGAGTTTGCTTTCCTCTTGTAGAAATTTTTACATACTGTGGGGAATTTACTCATTGGTATTTAAAGATCCTAGAACATTCAGGAATAATTGTTTTGTTTTTACCTAATAGCAATTTTTTAGAAACTGTATTCATTCTGCAAAGAGAGAAATGCCAGGAAGAAAAGAAATCTCTATCAGCACTAACTTGTAGTACCAATGCCACACATTTTATACCTGTCCACTTAAGATCAGGGAGGTATGCTTGTTTGAGGTCATTTCAGTAGCTTATTAGGTACAAGTAGCCCTGCTTTTCCAGCTGCTCTAGACAGGGAAATATTGTTTATTTTGCTTTTTAGTTCAGGTAAGTCTTGTTTTAGGGACAATCAAAACAAAACAAAAACAATTGTTATTTTGTTTTCATAGGAGTTCAGTAAAACTCCTTTAATTATATCCCTGATTGAATAGTGGTCTGAAAAGTTTAGAAATCAACCAAGAAGTCAGAGATCAAGGCAGATTTAATCACACACTTGTAATCCCAGCAGTCAGGAATCTGAGGCAGGAAGATGGTGAGTTTGAGGCTAGTCTGAATATACAGTAAAACTTTCTCAAAACAATAGAAAACAGAACAAGAAGTCAGGGATTAAACTACTAGCTTTAGCTGGGCACTAATGGCTCACACCTTGAATCCAGCTACTCAAGAGGTTGAGATCAAAACTCACACAGGCAGGAAAGTCTGATACTCTTACTTCTAATTAACCACCAAAAAGCTGGAAGTAGAGCTATGGCTGAAGCGATAGAGTGCTAGCCTTGAGCAAAAAGCTCTAGGACAGCGCTTAGGCTTTGAGTTCAAGCTTCCCCAGGACTAGCACAGAAATACATACATACATATATACTAGCTGTGTACCTGGTAAAACTTAGCTCAGAACCTTTGATTAGAATGGGATTCATTGAAAACCACTTAAGGGAAAATTTTATGTCAGAGTAAATATTTATTCAAATAACCCTGTAATACTTATCTCTTAATTAAAAGTCTCTGTGATAGTTATACCCAATCACAGCTACTGATATAAATGTTGTTTAGGTATTTATTAAATGTACATTATGAGTGTATATTGGAAACTCCTTGTTTATATTTTTCCTCTGGTGGTTATTCAGGAAATACTCATTCAAAACCTAATATTGTATTAGGCTCCTTTCAAGATAACATCTCCAGCTGGGCTCCAGTGGCTCACACCTGTAATTCTAGCTACTCAGGAGGCTGAAATCTGAGGATGGAGGTTCAGAGCCAGCCAGGCAGGAAAGTCCCTGAGACTCTTATCTCCAATTAATCACCAGAAAACTGAAAGTGGCACTGTGGCTCAAGTGGTAGAATGCTAGCCTTGAGCTGAAGAGCTGAGGGCCAGCGCCCCAGCTCAGGGTTCAAGCCCCACAACCGAAAAAAAAAAATCTCCCTTTGTTACTTGATCCATTTTACTGATCAGTGAACTTTGTGGAGCTAAGGTTAATTTGCATTAAGTCTTAAACTTGTAAATTAGGTTAGGCCTAAATTTACTAACCTAATCGAATTCCTAGATTTTACTTTTTCTTGATCCTTGCTGCCTTCGTGCTTACTGCCTCTTAATCTGAACAACTAAGTACCAGCATTTTAGTCAGGTTAAGTGTGTTATAGGATTCTAATTAAAGTTTTAAGGGCATAGAGAATGATTACTCAGTGATAGAGCACGTGCAGGTCCCTGAAAAAGTTTACTGTATTGAATATCTGTAAGCAACATAACTAATCAAAAGATTTTTTGATATTTGTATTATCTATATAATTTTTATTTTTATTTTTTGTCGGTTGTGAACTCTGGTTCTGGGCACTGCCCCTGCACTCTTCAGCTCAAGGCTAGTGCTCTACTTCTTGAGCCACAGTGCCACTTCTGTCTAGTGGTTTATTGGAGATCAGCGTCTCACTGACTTTTCTGCCCCGGCTGGCTTTGAACCATGATCCTCAGATCTCAGCCTCCTGAGTAGCTAGGATTATAGGCCTGAGCCACCAGCGCCCATTTTATCTATATAATCTTAAGGTTGCCAGATTAACCTAAGTTTCTAATTGTTTGTTGCTATTTTATAGGGCTTGTCAATAAAGAAATATCTCTTAATTTTTTATTTTATTTTATTTTATTTTTTGACTAGTACTAGGGCCTGAACACAGGGTCTGTCATTTACCTTTTGCACTCAAAGCTAGTACTCTACCACTTATCCACAGCTTCACTTCAAGCTTTCTGGTGATTAATTGGAGATAAGAGCTTTGCAGACTTTCCTGCCCTGATTGGCTTCAAATTGCAAACTCAGGTTTCAGCCTCCTGAGTAGCTAGGATTACAATCATGAGCATTGGTTCTCTTCATTAATCTTCATAGAAAATTAAGTATTCATCCTCTAAGAAAGAAAATATAAACTAAGGTGTAAGAATTTGAGGGCTGGGAAGGTGGCTCAGTGGTAGAGTGCTTGCCTTGCAGGCATGAGGCCCTGGGTTCGATTTCTCAGCACCAAATAAGCAGAAAAAGCCAGAAGTAGTGCTGTAGCTCAAGTGGTAGGGCACTAGCCTTGAGCTGAAGAGCTGAGGGACAGTGCCCAAGCTCTGAGTTCAGTCCCCATAATTGGCAAAAAAAAAAGAATTTGAGTACCATGCTAAGATTGAGATTCAAATGGAAGATGATTTTATTGCAAAGCATAGTTCAGAATTCAGCAGAAAGTAGAAACTAAGAATGGAACATATTATCAGCACTTATACTTAATTCCACCTAATGAACAATGATAAATACATAAAACAGATATGGAAGAAATTTTAGGAAGTAGTGACCAGTAAGGTTGAAAATGTAAAGTGGTAGTTAGATTGTTTAGAGCTATGCTGCCCAATGTAATAGCCACTTGTCACTTTACTGAGTAGGCAGAATGTGGCTAGTGTGACCAAAGAAATAAGCTGTGTATTTATTTAATTTTAAATGCATATGTGTGGCTGCTAGTTATTATACTGAACAGTGGAGATCTGTAGATGAGCAAGTGTTTTCCAGCAGAATGAGAAAATAAACATGATATAGAAATGGATAAAATAGCAAAAGTAAAATAACACCTGATATATTTCCTGTCTTCTACAGCCCTTGCTGGGGTTTAATAGTTAATAGTTTATTTTAAAATTTCACTTTATTATTACTGTAGAAATACTTAATGTAATTTTTTTGTATATCCTTCCATTAAAAAAAAAATCAGTGTTCATTAAGGACTCTGTCATCCAATTTCTCCATACATTCTCTCCAGCAAATATATCAGTGATTTAGGTGAAATTGCCACATTAGTAAGGAATGTATTAATTGGCCTTCAGTCTTAATTTTTTCAACTAGGTTTTTACCCTAATTTTGGTGTTTAGACAGATTTATTATGCATAGATTCATAACAGATTCTGCTTTTATCAATTGGTACTAGATACATAAGACAATAAAATAAAGCATACTTTATTTCAAGTACTATTTAGCTTTAGAAATTATTGGTTAATTGATCATTTTAAGTCTCTTTTACATGTCATTTAAAAGGCAACTTAGATGAGCATGAAAACACACACCTGTAAGCCACACACTTTAGTATCAGGAATATCTCCAGTATGGGCTTAATATCAAGGGGAAAAAAATTGAAGCCCTGTCTGCAATGTCTTTTAAAAAACAGGGCTGCATTTATTATAATTTTTATATATTTATTTATAAGTCTTTTGTGATAGTAATTTTTGTGTTTCATTGAATATGGGTTTTTTGTCTTAATATAGCTAAATCTGTATTGAGTCTTTCTTAAAATAGAATTCTATTGTACTGCTAAAACATCAGTGATATTTTATTAGTCTTGAGTAGCTTTTATATACTTAATTAAGCAGTTTCCTTGGTGGATAGAATTTTGTCTGCTGTTAGTAAGATAGAAGTAAATTATGTTATTTATCAAATGATTACCTTAACCTAGTTTTTGTTCCTTTTATTACTAATTGATTTCATCTTAATTTGCTTAGTAAACTTCAAATTTTCAGATATTAAAAAGTGTATAGCTGCTGGGCGCTGGTGGCTCACGCCTGTAGTCCTAGCTACTCAGGAGGCTGAGATCTGAGGATCGCAGTTCAAAGCCAGCCCGGGCAGGAGAGACCGTGAGACTCTTATCTCCAATAAACCACCAGAAAACCGGAAGTGGCGCTGTAGCTCAAGTGGTAGAGTGCTCGCCTTGAGCTGAAGAGCTGAGGGACAGCGCCCAGGCCCAGAGTTCAAGCCCCACGACCGACCAAAAAAAAAAAAAAAGTGTATAGCTATACACACATATACATATGAAAACTTACCAAATGAGACCCTAATGATTCACTTTCATAAGTGGGAATTTAAATTTTAATAAGGTGTTCTGTAAACCAGTCAAAACTTAAAGAATGAATTTTATGGTATTTGACTTATATCCAGGAGAGCTATTAGTTAAAAAGCATCCATCAAAGGAAAATAAAACTTGTTAAAGATAACATTGAAAGAGAAGACAAGTATTTCCTGGTATTTTTAAATTTGAAGAGCTGTCCCATGGTAGGGCAAGCACAAAGGTTTCTTTATGGTCCTAACCTGTGTGAGGTGGTACCTTTTCAAGTAGGACTAAATTAAAATCCTGTTTAACTGGAATCATTTTCCCCCTCAGATATCTGCTTTGTCTGAACTATTCTTTCTTTTGAGTCTGAGCAGCCAGCAGTTGGGAGGTTACTGTCAGTGAGATTCTCAGTAGAAGTAAGGCCTGGTAACTCTCCTTTGCCCAGCGTTCAAGCATCAGAATTTTAACTAGGTTTCTCTTTTGTTTGAAACAGTGATGACTCGTGGCACTGCCTCCAGCCCATCTTATAGATTCATATTGAATGATGGGACAATGCTTAGCGCCCACACCAAGTGTAAACTTTGCTACCCTCAAAGTCCAGACATGCAACCTTTCATCATGGGAATTCATATCATCGACAGGTACTACTTATTTGGAGAGCTTCCTATGAAATAAGTCAGTTCACATATCTTTTCTTAGAGGAAATTTTTATGCTCTTGGTAGCTAGAAAACAAAGATTCTAAAGTAGGCATACCAGTAGTATGTAATGAGTATATAATTAATATATACATATTAGGTTTTAAAGTTTTGTCACCAAATAGCTCTATTGTTCATAAAGGAAGATAGAGGCTGAAAATATGTTTTAGGGAGTGAAAACAGAAATATGCCTAAAAATTACAACTCTCTGTATAAGAACTTACTGAATTTTTTAAGATTGTTATATTTATTTTTTAAAGTGCTTTATTTTCTTTTGGTCAAACTTTATGGTTCCTTAATTCAAGTTGACAGTTTCTAAAAGAAACTAAAAATCATTAAACTATCAGCTTGAAAATTTTTAACATTGCTTACAGTTTTTTCTCACTAGGCAAATTTTATGTTGGTATATACATATTAATCTATTCTTTTATCAAATGACTTATTCAAAATCTTACTGTTAAATTTTTAACGTTAAAAGCAAAGACATTTCTCCTCACTTCATCTTCTCATCTGATGTTTTTGCTTATTGGAACATGATAATGCCAGTCACAGATCTTTTATCATAATTACAAATTTGAATGAAGAATGCAGTGAAACTCTGAATTCAGTGTTCTGGAGTTTTTTTGTAGTTTTAGTTGAAATTATTACTGTGAGTGGAATTAGCAGGGTTTTTTTCATATTGTGATTTCTCTTTCAAAACATCTGCTATGTCTGCATATCACCCTTTTTAATTTTCACATCAGTGACACAGTATTTTCCTTACCCAGTCTTCCTCTTTGGAGTTTAAATACTTAAAAGCTGTAACAGAGAATAAGAATTTTATCAACAAAGATGTCAGAAGTTTTTCTTTAATCAAAAGTGTTATAATTAATAATACAAATGAGTTATTTGTAGTAAGCTTAGAAAGTACTTCTATTGCATTTTTTTCAAACACCAAAGATTTCTTTTTCATATTACTGTAATTATTATCAAATTTAAGAGTCCACAAGACTTTTTCCCCTGGAAGTGGTGCTGACTTTTCTCAGTAGTACTAACTGTCTCCTGTTTTCTTAACTTGAGGTGATACAGAAGTTCTGTCCTTAATAGCTTACAATTTAGTGAAGTTGCTCTTGCTCATAGTAGTATTGTAAAATACTTAATAGAAACATGATGATGATTGAATAACCATGTTCCCCCCCCCCCCAGGGAACACAGCGGGCTTTCTCCTCAAGATGACACTAATTCTGGAATATCAATTCCCCGAGTAAACCCCTCAGTCAATCCTAGTATTTCTCCAGCTCATGGTGTGGCCCGTTCCTCTACCTTGCCACCATCTAACAGCAACATGGTTTCCACCAGAGTCAACCGTCAGCAGAGCTCAGACCTTCACAGCAACAACAGTCACAGTAATTCTAGCAACAGCCAAGGGAGTTTTGGATGTTCACCTGGAAATCAGATTGTAGCCAATGTTGCCTTAAACCAGGGACAAGCCAGTTCTCAGAGCAGTAATCCCTCTTTAAATCTCAACAGTTCTCCTATGGAAGGTACAGGAATTTCCCTAGCACAGTTCATGTCTCCAAGGAGGCAGGTTAATTCTGGCTTGGCAACAAGGGCCAGGATGCCAAACAATTCGTTTCCTCCAAATATTCCAACCTTAAACTCCCCAGTTGGCATTACAAGTGGTGCCTGTAGTAATAACAACCGATCTTATTCAAACATCCCGGTAACATCTTTACAGGGTATGAATGAAGGACCCAGTAACTCTGTTGGCTTCTCTGCCAGCTCTCCAGTCCTCAGGCAGATGAGCTCACAGAATTCACCTAGCAGATTAAATATACAACCAGCAAAAGCTGAGTCCAAAGATAACAAAGAGATTGCATCCATTTTAAATGAAATGATTCAATCTGACAACAGCACTACTGATGGCAAACCTCTGGATTCTGGGCTTCTGCATAACAATGACAGACTGTCAGATGGAGACAGTAAATACTCTCAGACCAGCCACAAACTAGTACAGCTATTGACAACAACTGCAGAGCAGCAGTTGCGGCATGCTGATATAGACACAAGCTGCAAAGATGTACTGTCCTGCACAGGCGCTTCCAACTCTGCTTCTGCTAACTCTTCAGGAGGTACTTGTCCCTCCTCTCACAGCTCACTGACCGAACGGCACAAAATTCTACACCGGCTTTTACAGGAGGGTAGCCCTTCCGATATCACCACTTTGTCTGTTGAGCCTGATAAAAAGGACAGTTCATCTACTTCTGCGTCAGCAACTGGACAGGCCCAAGGGAACTCCAGTATAAAACTAGAACTGGATGCTTCAAAGAAAAAAGAATCAAAAGACCATCAGCTCCTGCGCTACCTTTTAGATAAAGATGAGAAAGATTTAAGATCAACTCCAAACCTGAGTTTGGATGATGTAAAGGTGAAAGTGGAGAAGAAAGAACAGATGGATCCTTGTAACACAAACCCTACCCCAATGACCAAACCTGCTCCTGAGGAAATTAAACTGGAGTCTCAGAGCCAGGTGGGTAATTCCTGGCTTCACAAGAATGATTGTTCCTTATTTATTTTTCTTTCTCATTTATTGTGCTTTATTCTGAGACCAGATTTTGATCGTGCTTATTTTTTTTCCTATCTTTTTAGCATCTTCTAAGCTGTTAGTATCAGTGGTTATAAATCATAGAAAAGCCTCATCTCCTTAGACTTTTAGAGGACTACAGTATTAATATAGACATTGTTTTTGAAAAGTACATTTTTCTTTCTTTCTATAAAATCAGGATATTTTAAAAAAATACTTTCCTTACTTCTTCCTCCTAATTCCACATATTAGATCCAACTCTTAGCAAGGAGCAGGTGTCTAACACCTGTAATCCTAGCTACACAGGAGGATGAGATCTGAGGATTATGACTTGATGAAACTGGTAACCTCCAGTTAACCAATAAAAAGTCAGAAACAAAGGTGTTATTCAAGTATAGTGTGCCAACTTTGGGCAAAGAAGCAAAATGAAAGTAAGAGTACCTGAGTTCACGCCTCATTACTGACACAAAAAAGAAATTATCCAACTCTAGAGTAAAACTGAGGAGTCTGCATTTTTTTTTGGGGGGGAGGGTCCAGTCGTGGGGCCTGAACTCTGGGCCTGGGCGCTGTCCCTCAGCTCTTCAGCTCAAGGCTAGCGCTCTCCAGCGCTCTACCACTTGAGCCACAGCACCACTTTTTTCTTTTTGCTTATGTGGTGCTGAGGAATCGAACCCAGGGCCTCATGCATGCAAGGCAAGCACTCTACCACTGAGCCACCTTCCCAGCCTGAGGAGTCTGCCTTTTAAAGAAACTCTCCAGTGAACTCTGATGTGTGTCTAAGTTTGAGAACCTGTGATATAAACCAAGTGAGAGAAATGTGAGGAGTTAAACAGGGCTTCTTGGTTGCAGCACTCTATAGACTGCTTTTGTTCTCATGTAATTCTAACAACCCATAGAAGATTAGAGGGACATGAATATTCTGGGTAGCAGAATATTACTTTCATATAACAAGCTTTGAAGCGGTAGTAAATAAAAAATAAACCTTTTCACAAAATGTCCTAGATTAGCAAAGTGTATGTTTAGGATGAAATGGAGTTGGTATGAAAATTAACAGGCAGTTTCAATTATTAAATGACTGCTGTGAACTCTGAAGGAGTATAGGAAATGAGCCCCCCTTTTAGAAGCCTTCACACTATTTAGAGATAAAACAGAGGCATTCTCAAATAGTTGCCATTGTATTTACAGTGCAGTTTATCAACAAAACTCTCAGTTTGAAGCAAGATCACACTGAGTGTGTGCCAGGTCTTTTAGCTTCTTGAAACAGCTTGATTTTTTTTTTTTTTTTGTATCCTCATCTCACAAAAGTCTCTTTTCCCTCTGGCATCTGTCTTCTAGGCATACAGAAATCCTTGCTCTTCATGAGCTAATCCATGTCCCTCTGAACATCTGCTTTGCTCTGCTCCCTGTGCCTACTGAAGTTTCCATCCTTTGCAAACCAAAATAACCCTAATTAGGCAGTTCTTTTCCCTCTGCTCTCAGAGGGCTTTGTTTTGTCTCAATTTACAATCTGTTGTAATACTCATTTTGACTGTTAGGTTATATGAATACTCTTTAGAGATAAACAGTGTCACATTCTTGGCACAATGAAATTAATATCATTCTTAAGCAGAAAAGCAGCTTCAAATAATAAGTATATTAAGCTAGAATCCAATGGCTCACAACTGTAATTGTAGCTTCTCAGGAGGCTGAGATCTGGGGATCTCAGGATCAAAGACAGCCCTAGCAGAAAATCCCATTAGACTCCATCTCCAAAATAACCAGCAGAAATCCAGGCTACATGCTTTGCTTAACTGGTAGTGAGCCAAGCAAACAAGCTGAGCAAGCAAGAGGCCCTGAGTTCCAACTCCACTCTTTAAAAAGAAACTTTAGGGCTGGGAATGTGGCTTAATGGTAGAGTGCTTGCCTAACATGCGTAAAGCCCTGGGTTCTATTCCTCAGAACCACATACACAAAGCCAGCAGTGGCACTGTGACTCAAGGTAGAGCACTACCCTTGAGCAAAAATGCTCAGGGAAAGTGCCCAGGCCCTGAGTTCATGTCACATGACTGGCCAAAACAAAAGAAACTTTAAAAGTAATAACTTTTGAGCCTGGTGCCCATGACTTATGCCTGTAATCCTAGCTACTCAGGAAGCTGAGATCCTAGGATCATGGTTCAAAATCAGCCCAGGCAGGAAAGTCTGTGAAACTCTGATCTTCAATAAACAACCAGAAAACCAGAAGTGGTATTGTGGCTCAAGTGGTGGAGTGCTCACCTTGAGCTGAAGAGCTGAGGGATAGCGCCCAGGCCCAGAATTCAAGGCCCACAACTGACAAAAAAACAAACAAACAAAAAAAAACCCTTCTTTTAAGTACAGTGATCCCTCACCTATCACAGGAGTTACATTCCAGTGACCCCCCACAATAGATGGAAATCCACAAAGTCCCAGAGTTATATAGCCATCTTGCTACATCTTGGTTTACTTACTGCTACTTTGTGGATTTACACCTATAGTGATGTCTCTGGAACTTAACTCCATGATAGGTATGGGATCACTAATTATGCCTTTAAAAACAAAACAAAACAAAAAATGATACGGTGAAGCTGCAGTAAGTGAACTACGGTATAGCAAGGAAGGGCTGTAATAACTTTTTAAAATAATGTCATTGTGTACATCAGGTGTGCTGGTATGTATTTTAGCACCCATATGCATGGATTTCTGGCAAGTTTATACCAGGGAGTAGAATTGCATGCTTATAAGATACAGTACACATTTGTAAGCCAGGTGCCAGTAGCTTACATGCTCATGTTTGTAATCATAGCTACTTAGGAGGCTGAGATCTGAGGATTGGCTCAAAGCTAGCCCAGGTAGGAAAATCTGTGAGACTCTTTATCTCCAAAAAAGCCAGAAATGGGGCCGTGGCTTAAGTGGTAGAGTGCTAGCCTATTGCAAAAAAAGTGGAGGAACAGCACTCGGGTCCTAAGTTCTGCCCCAGGTTCAGCACACATACAAAAAAAAGTTGCATTTGTCAATCTTTTCTTTTATGGTTAATACTTTTTTATATATGTGTAACAAAAAAGCAGGTTCAAAACTACCCTTAAGGGCCAGGCATGGTGGCCCAGGCCTGTAATCCTATCTATTTGGGAGGGAGAGATTGGAAGTATCACAGTTTGAGGACAGACTAGGGGAAGAAGTTAGCAACACCCTCCCCCCTATTTCAACAAAATGAGTATGGTGACACATGCTTGTCATTCTGGCTGCACAGGAGTCTTAAGTAAGGGCTGTAGTCTACAGCAGAACAAAAAGCATAAAACCTGATTAGAACAATAACTAAAGCAAAAAGGACTTAAGTGGTAGCACTCTTGCTTGGCAAGCATAAGCCCCTAACTTCAAACACCAGTACTGCCAAAAAAAAAAAAAAGAAAACATTCATAGCAGTTTTACTTGTGTTATCCAAAAACTAGAAACAATTCAAAACTATGATATAGTTTTTGATAATTATATTATGACATAGGCATGCAATGGGATATTATTCAGCAATGAAAGTGAAAAATTACTCCTATATATGATAATATGTCAGAACTGTAGAAATGTAATTTTGAAAGAAGATGTTTTTAAGAATGTATGTAATTCTGCTGGTTGCTAGCGGCCCATGCCTATAATCCTAGCTACTCAGGATGCTGAGATCTGAGGATCATGGTTCAAAGCCAGCCCAGGAAGAAAAGTCTATGAGACTCTTACTCCAATAAACTATTCAGAAAAAGCCACATGTGGTGCTATGGCTTAAGTAGTAGAGTGCTATCCTTAAGCACAAAGAAGCTTGTGGACAGCACCCACGTCCAGAGTTCAAGCCTTAGGACTGGCAACAACAACAACAAAAATATATATGTAATTCTGCCAGATGCTAGTGGCTCAAACTCATAATTCTAGCTACTCAGGAAGTTGAGATCTGAGGGTTATGGTTTAAAGCCAGCCCAGACAGGAAAGCCCATGAGACTCTTGTCTCTAATAAATCACCAGAAAACCAGAAGTGGCGCTGTGGCTCAAGTGATAGAGTGCTAGCTTTGAGCTGAAGAGCTGAGGGACAGTGTCCAGGCCCAGAGTTCAAGCCCCAAAACGGACAAAAAAAAAAAAAAATTGAAACCCAGACAAACATTTTACTAATTGTCTGAAAGTAATATTGTAAAATGAAGGCCAGTTTTAGTTTGTGTGTAACTTCAGATATATTTATTGTTGTTGCTGGTACTGGGATTTAAACTCTTAGTCTTGAGTTTACACTTCACGTTTCTATCTAGCACTCTGTCACTTGAGACAAGCCTCCACTTGTGGCTTTTTGTTGGTTATTTGGAGATAAGAATCTCATGGGCTTTTCTGCCGGGGCTTGCTTCCAATCACAGTCATCAGATCTGAGTAGCTAAGGGCTTTATTACTTATCTTTCTAATAGGGTCTCACATCTATACCAGAGCTGACCTCAAGTACCATTGCCCTTTCTTAAGCCTTTCATATGTTGGGATGACAGGTGCATGCATGCTACTAAACCTAAATTTTATTGCTTGAGACCTGGGCTTTCTCAGACTACTTTCCAATTTTTGCCTCTCCAATAGCCAGAATTACAGACTTGAGCCACCACACCTGACTTTTTTGGGGGAGGGGGTCATGGGGCTTGAACTCAGGGGTTGGGCACTGTCTCTGACCTCTTTTACTCAAGGCTAGCACTCTACCACTTGAGCCACAGGGCCACTTCTGGTTTTCTGGTTGTTAATTGGTGACAAGAGTCGCATGAGCTTTTCTGCCTGGGCTGGCTTTGAACTACAATCCTCAGATCTTATCTTCCTGAGTAGCTAGGATTACAGGTGTGAGCCACCAACACCTAGCTGCCTTACTATTTTTAAACTGTTTCATAGCCTTTTTAAATTATAAAAAGGTATATTAATGTAAAATTTGCTTAAATCACTTTTCAGACTTGAAAACAGGAAAAAAAAATCACTCAATGCCATCATAGCATAGTACTTGTAACATTTCTTTCCAAGCCAGGCGTGTGTGTGTGTGTGTGTGTGTGTGTGTGTGTGTGTGCCAGGCGTGTGTGTGCCAGGCATGTGTGTGTGTGTGTTTTGTGGGGCTTGAACTCTAAGTCTGGGTGCTGTCCTGAGCTCTTCAGCTCAAGGCGAATGCTCTACCACTTGAGCCACATCGCCACTTCAGTTTTCTGGTGGTTTATTAGAGATAAGAGTTTCACAGACTTTCTTGCCCAGGCTGGCTTTGAACCATGATCCTCAGATCTCAGCCTCCTGAGTAGCTGGGATTACAGGCCTGAGCTACCAGCACCCAGCTCAATCCAGGCTTTTTTTCTATATGCAAATTTTATGCCATGAAATAATAAATACTGTCTGTATGTTATAGCTTGTAGTATGTTACTCTTATAAGCATCAGCTTACAGTATTTTTTGATGAAATAATAGATCAGGTAATTTCAGAGACATCTAATCATTTTAATTATGTCTTTATTCTCTTGGTTTTATTTGGGTCATCAAGTTTAAAGGAATAAATTCTTTCTTCAGTTGCTTTCTGGAATGTATGTGAAATATCCACTGTCTTTGGTTTCCCTTCTTAGTTTACGGCTGAACTCGACCAGTTTGATCAGTTGCTGCCCACGCTGGAGAAGGCAGCACAGTTGCCAACCTTGTGTGAAACAGACAGGATGGATGGTGCAGCTTCCAATGTCAACATCAAGTCAGAGATCCTGCCAGCTTCACTTCAGTCCACCACTGTCAGGCCCACGTCCAGGCTAAACAGTATGTGCTGGGGACCACACTTTACCTTAAATGCTTAGTGATACCGAGGCTTAGCACTTACTTGGTCTCTCACCATCATTGCCAAAATCTTTCATTGTGAATGAAGTATCTTTTTATTTTGCCACTGTAAAAATATAGTTCTAGTCAAATATATGCATTTATGTATAATACTCAATTGAAATTAATGATGAGGAGAACAGTTTTATGTTCTTACCCAAATTGTACCATTACAAAACATTTAAAATATATTAACATTACAAAACATTTATAAATATATTAATAATTGTCCCATTACAAAACATTTATAAATATATTAATATCGTATTAGGACAGATTATATTTCCCAAATAGCCTTGACAATTAGTTTTAGGAGTTGTAAAAAGAAAGATCCTATATTAAAATAACCTGGCAAATGCTTCTTCCTGTACAGTTTGCTATTAAAGTTTTATGTTACTTTTAAAGGATTTGAAAGACCCTGAATTAAAGAAATCAGTTTGTGCCTGGCACCAGTGGCTCATGCCTGCAGTCCTCAGGAGGCTGAGATCTGAGAATTGCAGTTTGAGGCCAGCCTGGGCAGGAAAATCTGTGAAACTTTCATCTCCAGTAAACTCCTCAAAAAAAGCCAAAAGTGGCCCTGTAGCTCAAGTGGTAGAGCACTAACCATGAACAAAGAAGCTCAGGGAAAGCACCTAAACCCAGAGTTCAAGTCCCAGGACAGGCATAAAAAAAAAAAAATTTAGTTTGTATTTTTGTAAGCTAGCATTTTTCAAACTTTTTGGTCATAGAGTTCCTTTTAGAATGTTTTTCTTTTTTTCTAATTTTTTATTGTTATTATAAAGGTGATATATATAAATGGGTTGCAGTTATGTAAGTCAGGTAAAGAGTACATTTCTATTTGGATAACAATTTCTATTATATTTTCTAGGGAAAAAGTTCTCTGTGGAATATTATTAAGGGGACCACTTGTTAAAATATATCATTGTTCTTACCCAAATAGCAGTTTTCTGTTTAAGAGATCATCTAATATTATAATAGAATACTTCATACTTATGAACCTAGGACTGTCAGTTTTTTTAATCCATCAGTTTCTAAATTGAAAGAATTAGTGATAGCCAGTGCCCTGTAGCTCACGCCTGTAATCCTAGCTTCTCAGGAGGCTGAGATCTGAAGATTGTGGTTCAAAGCCAGCCCAGGCAGAAAAGTCCAGGAGACTCTTTTTTTTGGGGGGGAAGGGGTGTTCCGGTCGTGGGGCCTGAACTCTGGGCCTGGGTGCTGTCCCTTAGCTCTTCAGCTCAAGGCTAGCGCTCTACCACTTGAGCCACAGTGCCACTTCCGGCTTTTTTCTTTTTTTGCTTATGTGGTGCTGAGGAATCGAACCCAGGGCCTCAGGCATGCAAGGCAAGCTCTCTACCACTGAGCCACCTTCCCAGCCCCAAGTCCAGGAGCCTCTTATCTCCAATAAACCACTTAGAAAACTGGAAGTGGCGCTGGCTCAAGTGGTAGACACTCACCTGGCCCAGAGTTCAAGCCCCACAACCACCACCAACAACAACAAATTAATGGTAATTAATCTGTTAATTAATGGTGATTTTGAAACCAAAGGAAACTAATCAACCAACTTTCAGAAATGTGTTTGGGTTTTTTAGCCTTAGTGCTCTGCTGATGGGATCTAATACGACTCTTCATTGATTCATTGATTCAGTCTTACTGGAGATTTTAGCTGTCATGACCCAGTTTCTGAAAGTTCACCAAGATTTCCAGGCTGTTATGAAGAATCTTGAGTTTTTCTCTGACATTTTTGGAGGGTAATATATATATATATTTTTTTTTCTTTTCTTTTCTTTTTGGTCAGTTGTGGGGCTTGAACTCTGGGCCTGGGTGCTTTCCCTCAGCTCTTCACTACAAGGCAAGCACTCTAACACTTGAGCCCAGTGCCACTTCCAGTTTTCTAAATGATTTATTGGAGCTAAGAGTCTCATGGACTTTCTTGCCCAGCCTGGCTTTTAACCACAATCCTCAGGTTTCAGCCTCCTGAGTAGCTAGGATTATAGGCATAAGCCACTGGTGCCTGGCTGGAGGCAGTATTTTAGCTGGCCAAAACACAAGAAGCGGAGAACAGTCAGGACCTAGATTCAAGTCTCAAATTCTTCATTTATTAATATCAAAGAAATGAATTTTCTGGTCCCCATTCTTTCTTTCCCTTTCTCCTTCTCTCCCCCTCTTTCTCTTGATCTCTATCTCTGTCTCTCTCTGTCTCTGTCTTTGTCTCTTTCTGTCTCTCTCTCTTTCTCTCTCTCTCTCTCTGTCTCTCTCTTCCTCCCCCCTCTCTGGAGAGATCTCAGGAGACTGAAATTATGAAATTCTTGGTTCAAAGCCAGCCCAAGCAGCAAAGTCTGAGACTCTACCTCCAAGTAACCACCAAAAAGCCAGAAGTAGAACAGAGGGTCAAGTGGTAGAGCACCAGCCTTGAGCAGAAAAACTAAGGGACAGAAGTCCAGGCTCTAAGTTCAAATCTCAGTACCAGCATAGGGTCAAGTGGTAGAGCACCAGCCTTGAGCAAAAAAACTAAGGGACAGAAGTCCAGGCTCTAAGTTCAAATCTCAGTACCAGCATAGCAAAACAAAACTTAAAAAACACTTAAATATGGGCAAATGATCTGAACAAACACCCCTGCAGCGAAGATGTATGTATAGAAAATATGCATGTGAGGGCTGGGAATGTGGCTTAGTGGTAAAGTGCTTGCCTAGCATGCATGAAGCCCTAGGTTCGATTCCTTAGTACTACATAATCTGAAAAGGCCAGAGTGGCACTGTGGCTCAAGTGGTAGAGTGCTAGCTTTGAGCAACATTTGCTCAGGACAATGCCTAGGCCCTGAGTTCAAACCCCAGGACTGGCAAAAAAAGAAAGAAAGAAAATATGCATGTGAAAAGATGCCCTACATCATCGCATTTGAAAATTATTAATTTAATAGCTTCTATTATAATGGCTAAAATTACAATATACTCCCTGTGGTCAGGATATAGAACTCTCATTGGTTGTGGGTGAAGATATTATACCCACTTTGGAAGACAGTCAGTCCATTCTTAGTACTCTAAACATACTCTTGCCATGTGGTTCAGCAGTCATCTTCTTCAATGTACACCCAAAAGGGTTGAAAATCTGTTTGTACACTAAAACCTGCGTATAGTGTTTGTTGTGGCAGCTTTATTCACAACTACCAAAACTTGGAAACTGACATGACACAAAAAGACATTGCTGACAAGAAGCTTGTCTGGAAAGGCTTCAACACTTTTCTGGAAAATCGAAACTGTCAGGATAGGAAAAAGATCAGTGGTTGTCCCCTGATTGTCAAAGGAAAGGATAAATAGTGGGAGCAAAAGGGACTTGTGAGTATCATATTGTTCTGCAGTATTAGTCTGTAATGGTGAATACTGCCACTTTACCTTTGTAAAAACCCCTGTAAAATATAGAACAAAAACAGTGAACTAATACAAATCTGATAGAAACAGGCCAATCTAAACAAATGGGCAATGGTTTTGCTTGGTTGGTATTTTTTGTCAGTCATGGGGCTTGAACTCAGGGCCTAGGTACTGTCCATGAGCTCTTTCACTTAAGGCTAGCACTCTACCACTTTGAACCACAGCTCCACTTCTGGTTTTTTGGTGGTTAATTGAAGGTAAGAGTCTCTCAAGGACTTTCCTGCCCAGCTGGCTTTGAGCCTCTCCTGCCTGGGCATTGAAACATGATCCTCAGATTTCAGCTTCCTGATTAGCTAGTATTATAGGTATGAGCACCCAGCACCTGGTGCACAAAGAATTTTAAAAGACAAGTCATGAAAAAGGATAAAAAATGACCAATCAACATATTTCCTTGTTCATCAACAAGGAAATGCAAGCTAAACTCACTCCTGTAATCCTAGCTACTCAAGAGGATGAGATCTGGAGAATCTCCATTCAGAGCCAGCCAACAGGAAAGTCACCGTTCTGTTTCTAATTAACAAGCATACAGCCAGGCTGGAAGCATGGGTAAAGTTGTGGAGTGCTAGCTGCAAACAAGCTGAGCCGGAAGGTGAGGCACTGAGTTCAAGTCCTTGAACCAAGTTTAAAATAAGAAGAAAAGAAAGGGTTAAAAATGCAAATTTAAGTTATAGTACAAGCCTAGAACAATAGCTTATGTTTATAATCCCAGCTATTCAGTTGTAGGAGATTAGGAAGATAGCAGTTTGAGGCCATTTGTACTTTGGAGAAGTGTCAGGTTCATTCATTCACTAATTGATTGTGTTGTTTGTTCTTTTACTGTGTAATTTTTTTTGAGTTCTTTATTCTGGACCTGAAACCCCTTCCAGATGAATAGCTGGCAAAGATTTGCTCCCATCTGGAGGCTGTCTCTTCACTCTGTTAATGGTTTTCTTTCCTGTGCAGCTTTTAATTTGATGCAATCCCATTTGTCAGTTTCGCTATTATCTTCTGAGTTTTTGGAGACCAATTCAGAAACTGTTGCCTGAGCCTGTTTCTTGAAGTGTTTTCCTTAAGTCTTCCTCTAGCAGTTTCAAAAGTTCATGTTTTACGTTGCCTTTGTTTCAGCTGTAGATGTTTTCCTGTTTCTTTTCCTTTTGAGCCTTTTCACTGATACTTTTGGAGAAAGACAAAAATACAGGTGTTAAATCTGCCATATTGAACCAGAATATTTCCTTAGGTCCACTTACATATGCAAAAATTAAAGTTTAGAGAATTAAAGGCGGAATTCTCTCTGTCTCTTTCTGTCACTTTAGCCATCTATGTAGAGATTTACTTTCTTGAACGATTTGTAGACTGAAGAATTTTTAAAAATATTTAAAGATTAGCGTCCTAAAACTATTGTTACTACATTCTGTGAATATAAACATTCTTTGATTAAAATACTATTATTAATTAATTTATTTTTGCATAGAACTGAAGAAATTTATTTTTACAGATTCCAGAGCAATGATGGAAATCTGAAGGAAGGCCTCAGGGAGTTTA